GTGTGTGAGAGAGAGAGAGAGTGTGTGAGAGAGAGAGAGAGTGTGTGAGAGAGAGAGAGAGTGTGTGAGAGAGAGAGAGAGTGTGTGAGAGAGAGAGAGAGTGTGTGTGTGTGAGCGAGTGTGTGTTAGTGTGAGAGTTGTGCAGCTTTGCCTCTATATTTGGCTCTTGTAAAGAGAGCCGTGTCTCCTGAACCCCCTCCATATAAACTAGTTTGAGTCTCGGGCAGCTGGTCTCTTGCCGCAGTCCTGTTCCTCTGATTCATTCACAAATGCAGCCACATGTCAAACACACAAAGCCAAATAACGAATGAGTGCTGCAGCAATTGCAGGTGCAGCTGGAAGCAGCTTTAGCTTCAGACCTCAACAAACTACAGTTGAGGTTCACAAAGAATTGACCAAATTTGCCTTCAGTTCTAATTAATGATTATTTTTATACTTTTAGGGGAGCACTAAATAACTCAATAAAAGCTTGATGGGTTAACATTTGAAAATTAAGAAATTAATGTATCATTATTGTAATTTTACAGATACAGTAAAAAATATTCTTTAATAGGGTTGCAAAGGGGCAGAGCATTTCTGGTACATTTCGGAAAACTTCCTAAAAGTTTCCAAAAATATTCCGAAAGTTTCCAAAAAAATCTTGATAGTTTCTGTAATTCACTGTAAAGAAATTTTTTGTAATTTAATTTAGTAATATATTTAAATATATAAACGTGCATTTTTATTTAATAATTATTTTAAAAGTTTGTTATTATTATAGTTATTATTATTGATATTATATAGCTATATTGATATTTTGATATGTACAAACAAACACAGCAAAATAAAAAATAAATAAATAAAGAGGCATGTTTTACAAGAACAAATAATATATGCTAATTATATTATACTACATATTGGTCTTCTGGCAAAATAAAAGCTTGATGGTTTCATGTTTGAAAATGAAGAAATTAAGACAGGTTTTAATTGTAATTCTACTTGCTTTCATTACATGTTCGATTTTTATTCTACAGCACAATAATATTATTAGAATATACTGTTCCTCAAACTCATTTAAAGTTAAAGGGGGATCAGGCCTCATGAATTTAGGAAGATCACTTTGTTAAATGTTTTTGCGTGTCAAACGTTACTTGTCGTTAGCCTTTGAGAGGTTGGGCTAGTATTTGATGTATTGTGTGTTGTTTTTATTTTTTTTCTGTGCTGCTTGTTCAGCACTTTGGTCTGTAGGTGCAGTTGTAAAGTGCTCTATAAATAAAGTCAACGAACGAATGAATGAATCGTATTTTGTTTAGAATCTTGTTTAATAATTATAATAAAAAAATAATTTTCAAACTTTCAATCAATTGAAAATAATTTTTCAATCTTTGTTTTTCAATATTTTAAATTTTTTTCATTATATAATAGAAATGTATATCATAATGATAAACTTGACCGATTAATCGGCTCATATTTGGCCATTAATAATTATAATAAAAATAATTATTTATAATTTCTACTAAATGCTCAGTTTTTATTTTATAGCACAATAAAATTATTACAATATTCATATATTTCCTGAGTTGTTTAATATTTTATTTAATAATTATAATATAAAAATATATTTATTATTTTTATTGTATAATTATATTAATATTAGGGATGCACCGATAGGATTTTTTGGGGCCGATACCGATTTTAACAAACACTTATTGGCCGATACCGATATTTGTCCGTTCCTCTCTTATTTGACATTTTGGCATCAAAATAGAGAGTATTTTGATCATGTTTTAAATCAGCAAAGTTCAAAAACACCTGCATTAAATTATACTAGCAGTTTTATTGCTGCATCAAATAATTTCTAATGAACATGGATTGGATCCATTTAACATTCAGCAGGCCTACATAAATACAACAGAACAAAGATACATATTAAATAAACAGTGCTTTTTAGGTAGGTTTAACAGTTTACTAAACAAAAAAAATAGACATGTTGCTTTTGTCAACTGAAATAAGTTTATGTTAAAGCACTAAAATTACTAACTGGAAATGAAAAGTAAAAATGAATTAAACTAAAATAAAAATAAAGTTAAATAGTAATATTAAAAATAAAAACTAATAGAAATGACAAAAGCACACAACAAAATTACTAAAAATGTAATTAAATTGAAAACTTTAAATATAAAAATTAAAGCTAATTAAAAATAAAAATAATAGTATATCAATGAAAAAGATGATGAAAAGTTATTAGTAACCTTATTAAAAACATAAATAAATACTATAATAGTATATAAATAATATTAAAATGACACTGACATGCTGTGAATATATATATATATATATATATAATGCTGTTTCTCAGTTCATTCAACATTGGCAAGTGTGACAAAAAGTTAATTCTGGACCTTGATAACAACACATAACATTCTCAAAAGCTCTTAAGCCATTCATGAAATCCCATTATAAGTGTTTGCTAGGGATGCACCGATAGGATTTTTTGGGACTGATACCGATTGTAACAAACACTTATTTGCCGATACCGATATTTTTCACTTCTTCTCTTATTTGAAATTTTGCCATCAAAATAGATAGTATTTTGATCATGTTTTAAATCAGCAAAGTTCAAAAACACCTGCATTAAATTATACTAGCAGTTTTATTGCTGCATCAAATAATTTCTAATGAACATGGATTGGATCCATTTAACATTCAGCAGGCCTACATAAATACAACAGAACAAAGATACATATTAAATAAACAGTGCTTTTTGGGTAGGTTTAACAGTTTTCAGGTACAGAAATAAAGTAAACAAATGTAAAATAACACTTCACTGTATAAATTAAATACATATTAATCCTTCTTTATTGTAACAGACTTTATGATTAATCTTCTAATTTGTTTTTGTATACATTTTAATGTTTTTTGTAAGGTTAAATATGTATGAGATCTCCATTACTAAGGCAGGACTCTTATTTTGACGGGTTTTCTAGTCTACTGAGCTATATCGGTAATGAAAGCATGCAGTTCTTCAGATTTAAAGATTGTCAGTTTATTAAGCACCCCCCGAAAAGGCATGAGATCTGTATATGTTGTAATAAGTGTTTTGTGTAATTCGCTGTATGTTGATGATAATAAAGAGAGAGAGTTTAATGTGCACTTCTCGTGCTGTGTTTTATTTGATTAGCTGCATTAAAGTGCAGACAGCAGTGCTAGGATTATGCAACAGACATTATACAGCTCACTGCCTTCACGCAGTTAATTAATAAACCATCGGTTTGGTTGTAAATTGAGGAAAAATCGGCCGATACATCGGTGCATCCCTAATTAATATAATTACTTTTTGCCAAATTGTGCAGCCCTACGAACAAGCAAAGCAAATCTGAAGCTCTTTAAAAAAAATATATCACATTTTAAATTGTAATCACAATTTTTCTCTGCAAAATTGCAATTACTATTTTTTTTTCCCCTTTGTTGTAATTTTTTACAACAAAACTTCTGCAATTCAAGGGTTTCATGATCAGGAGACCTGTTTTAAGAGGCTTAATTTGTGTCTCTCTGTGTGTTTGTCTCCTGAGAGTTGCGCCTGGTGTAAACGTGTCTGTGCTGCAGTGTTTAAAGATGCACTGCTGTTATTTTTACTCTTTACTGCGGGTGTTCAGGTCTGGATCTCCGGTGTTAAAGGTGAAGTGTGTTATTACAGAGTCAGCTAACTAGGGCTGTCAAAAAAAGAATTAGAGTTTCGAATATACTCAGTTTTTACTATTCATTTATAATGAGACATATCTGCTATTATTTTAATCTCCAATCTGTTTATCAGTTTTTTTAATGCTTTGATAACTAGCAGAAGTTTTAAATTCCAGTTGCGCAGATGGGTTATGTTGTAACACTGCGTTACAATGTGCTATTCTATGACATTAGCGATGTAATTTACTCTTATGTACTGTAAGGAATTTTAATGAGAAACCACGAGGAACAGGTGAATATAAACTGACAGTCAGTGTTTAATGTTCAGAAGTTATTATTTCAAGACATGTAAAGCATTTTTTCTCGTTTATGTGGGCCATCCCATGCATGGTTGCAATGTGTTCATTGTCAAACTCCAAAATCAGTTTATTTTTAATTCTTAAAAAACACCATTATTTTATTTGAAGAAAAAACAATTTTTTTATTTCTTCATCTCTCAATCAGTCGAGTCAAGACAAGCCAAGTCACCTTTATTTATATAGTGCTTTTAACAATACAGAATCAGATATAGAGAGACCAGTGATATTTAGATAATTTTATGTCAGTATCTGCTGTACTGTTATAAAGACTGGTTTACAAACATCAGAATTTCATCAGCATCTGCAGCAAATTGCATATTTCTGCTCAGTTTGATTCTCGGAATAAAATTGAACTGTTTTTCCTGCATATTCTCTCTATATCAGACTATATGAGCCATAAAAGCCTGATGGATCAATTATGATACTCAACAAAAAACACGGTAACACTTTGTTATTATGTGTTCTTGTTACACATTACGTGTACTTACTATTATAATAACAATAAATTATGCATAATTACATGCAAGTAACCCTAATCCTAACCCTAACCATATAGTTTAATCAGTATTTAAATGTATAATTACACCGTAACAAGGACACCTTAAAATAAAGTGTAACCAAAAACACATATGCAAACTTTTTTTGTTTTAATATTAGGGTTGCAAAGGGGTGGAAAATTTCCAGTAAATTTCCGGAAACTTTCCAAAAATACCTGGAAGATTCCAAAAAATCCTGGAAAGTTTCCGAAATTTACTTTTTGCAACCCTATTTAATATTTTACCATTTCAAAAAAATAACACTTTTTTTTTTAATTTTTTTTTTAAGAGGGTTAATATCACAAAGGACACACTTGAGCTTTAACAAATGCTGTCCGATGATTCAGCATGACTTAGATCTTTCTATTTGTACGGATGACCATGAACTTCTGATAATAATAACTTGATATGTCTCTCTCTCTTTCTCTCTCTCTCTCTGGTTCAGGTTTTGTCAGTACTGCGTCTCGATGCAGATGCTCCAGGTGAAATGAATAAGGCACCTCAGCCTCTGTCAGGACCCCCCTCCGCCCCGCTTCCCGCGCCCACCCCGGGCCTGTCCCAGGTAACTCGCGTCACTCTTTCAGTCATTGTGATCCGGGATGCACCGATATATCGACCGATAATCTGTATTAAAAACTAGGGCTGCACGATTAATCGAATGAGATTGTCATGCGCATCTTGTCAGTAAAGCCGGTTCTGTGATCAGTAGTAAATCTCCATCACATAAATAGAGATTTCATTGCTATTTATCATGCAGCCTTAATAAAAACAACCGATGATTATATCCTGTCAATCAAAATGCGGCAAGAAAATGTTTCAGACAGCAACTTGCGTGAAGAAAATGTGTCTTGTCAAATTTATGGCTATTTGAGTTAAAGCAGTAATATCTCATTAATGCAGGTTTTGTTTGAACTTATAAACCATAAGCCACCCATAGTTCAAGCCAGGGTTGCCAGATATGTGTTTTTTCTTCACTAAACATTATTTGTAATGTGCCTCAAATCCAATAATCTTACTTCGGATAAGAAATACAATCTCAGCTTTTAAATCCTGTACGTTTTATCGCAAAATTCAAACATTAAATGTCGCATTTAAATGTGGCGTGACGTATCGCTGTAGCGATTCAGTTCAAGAGGCAGCACGGAGCTCGAGACTCTTCCTCTTTAATACAAGTTATAGCACAAAATAAATGTAAATGAACATCAGAAGATATGTTGAAAAATAAAGTACAACTTACCGAAATCTATCATGTCTAATATAATCGTTTCAACAGAAAGTTCATTAGTTAGCTATGAAAACACTAGAGGGAGCTTAATTACTGTTAATTATATAAGTATGTTTGAATAAATCTGTTGTGAAGACCAGTTTTTATGAAAACTACCTAAAGTGCAATTGAGTTGTATACAGATGTTTTTATATTTGAGTGTGATTATTATATCTGAAAATAAAAAGCATTGAATGTAATAGTGTTATTGTTCATATTAACCTCTAATATTACATACCAGTGTTTAGTTTACAGCATTAGATGGGAGATTTTTTTTTCTTCTTAGGAAATCTGAACTATCAGTATCGGCAGATATCGTTCTGAATAATCGGTTATCGGCTGAGAAATTCAGTATCGGTGCATCTTTACTTATGATCTCTCTGGATTACTCCTATGATTGAATGATGCTCGTGTGTCTCTCTTTAGCCCAGTTTTTCTCCTGTTCCGCCAATTGTGTTCGGCACCCCTCCGCCACAGATGAACCCCGCCGCCCAACCCCGACAGGTACGGCACCCCAGACACGCATCACTTCCTGTGGGCCTGCTGGGTCATTGGCCCATTCGTTTTCCAGCCAAGCCAAACCAAACCAGCCAGCCCGTGTTACATTTAATATACATTTTAAAGGTATTTAGGTATTAAAGACTTAAGCATCAGAAAAACACTAAGGTCTTCCATAAAGCAGAGATTCCCAAAATCTGCGAGCTAAAATATTTACTTGAAGTCTCCCTGAGATTTTAACTTATTTCAATAAATAAGCACATTCATATGGTCACAGTTCTCAGAATCAATGGTTACATGGCATGCAGGTAAACAAATACAATATTTAATCTTTTGCTTTATCTTGCTTTTTTTTAATTATTTTAATTGTATGATTGTTGCCATAAAACACTTCCAAAGATAGAATCAAATCAGTCTTGAATTTTAATACAAAATTAGTACCTTCTTAATTTAAATAATTAAAAAAGAAAAAGAAAAAATACATTTGAAAATTAAAAAAAGAAAAGGATAATAAAATAAAGAAAATTAAATAATAAAAGTATTATTTATATACTATTATTGTACTTGTTATTTATTAATAATCAGTTTATTTTACATTTTAAATTTTGTTTTCATTTTAATTTTAGTTTGTTTTAGTAATTTAGTAAGTGTTTTTGTCATTTTATTAGTGTTTTTGTATATGTCTGTTTAGCTTATATTAATTTGCTTTGCTTTTAATTTTAGTACGTCAACTTTAAATTAAAATTTGAAAGGTTGTCTTGCCAGCTAACTGAAACAAGTTTGTTTTTTATCTGCATTAACTTTTTTGTAGTTTTAGTTAATAATAACAAAACTACTGCTGCCTTTTAGAAATTAATCAAATGTAAATGAACAAATCTTAAGACAATGAGAGATCGCAAAATTAGTTTCTGTTCATTTTGAAGTTGTTATGCACAGCTAGTATTTACACTTTTCTGATCGGTGGATCTCGCTTCAGTATTTTGGGTCTTGAAGGTTCTGAATGGGATTTTTACTTCATTAACTTATCGGAGGATCCCTGTGAAAACATTGAGGTTCATGTAAGTTTTGTCCAGAAAAAGATAGCCTATATCTAGCCTGACATGTTTGGACAAACCAGACGAATTATCAGCGAGTGAACATGTAAGAGCGTCTGTACTTGAGTTCAGAGGTCGCCCTGCATCCTCCTGACCTCTCGTTGTGTGTGAGATTGGAGCGACTGAGGTGCTTCTGGGAAAACGGGATCTCTCCTCTGCTCTTGTGGCTGGTGTTGCTTCGGTTTCTTGACCTTTGACCTGTACATGTGGCTTTCTCTTTCTAGTTTGCCTCAGGTCCTAGGGCTTTACCACAACAGGTACTAACACAAACACACCCACATACACTGAACAAGACCTGAAACATACTCTACGTCATTGAGATATGAATTCTGCATTGTATTTGCAGTGTTGCGTAATTATCATAAACTAGTATAAAGTCTTCTCTTTCTGAGCAGTAGTTTGAGATAGTGTTGTCACGGTACCAAAATGTCAGTATTCGGTACCGATACCAGTGAAAATCCACGGTTCTCGGTACCAATTTCGGTACCAAAGCAAAACACAAAAACATGCTTTTGAACAACATTTTTATTAATAAAGTTAAACAAAAATTAAATGTACAAAACCAATGCCAATGCCATAGTTATATGGCAATTATTCTTAAAAGTTAATTTCAAAGTTCAATCTGTTAAAATTATTTAATGCACAATGTACACCGTAACAAGGACACCTTAAAATAAAGTGTAACCAAAAACACATATGCAAACTTTTTTTGTTTTAATATTAGGGTTGCAAAGGGGTGGAAAATTTCCAGTAAATTTCCGGAAACTTTCCAAAAATCCCTGGAATATTTAAAAAAAACTGGGAAGTTTCCAAATCAGTTTATTTTTAATTCTTAAAAAACACCATTATTTTATTTGAAGAAAAAACAATTTTTTTATTTCTTCATCTCTCAATCAGTCGAGTCAAGACAAGCCAAGTCACCTTTATTTATATAGTGCTTTTAACAATACAGAATCAGATATAGAGAGACCAGTGATATTTAGATAATTTTATGTCAGTATCTGCTGTACTGTTATAAAGACTGGTTTACAAACATCAGAATTTCATCAGCATCTGCAGCAAATTGCATATTTCTGCTCAGTTTGATTCTCGGAATAAAATTGAACTGTTTTTCCTGCATATTCTCTCTATATCAGACTATATGAGCCATAAAAGCCTGATGGATCAATTATGATACTCAACAAAAAACACGGTAACACTTTGTTATTATGTGTTCTTGTTACACATTACGTGTACTTACTATTATAATAACAATAAATTATGCATAATTACATGCAAGTAACCCTAATCCTAACCCTAACCATATAGTTTAATCAGTATTTAAATGTATAATTACACCGTAACAAGGACACCTTAAAATAAAGTGTAACCAAAAACACATATGCAAACTTTTTTTGTTTTAATATTAGGGTTGCAAAGGGGTGGAAAATTTCCAGTAAATTTCCGGAAACTTTCCAAAAATACCTGGAAGATTCCAAAAAATCCTGGAAAGTTTCCGAAATTTACTTTTTGCAACCCTATTTAATATTTTACCATTTCAAAAAAATAACACTTTTTTTTTTAATTTTTTTTTTAAGAGGGTTAATATCACAAAGGACACACTTGAGCTTTAACAAATGCTGTCCGATGATTCAGCATGACTTAGATCTTTCTATTTGTACGGATGACCATGAACTTCTGATAATAATAACTTGATATGTCTCTCTCTCTTTCTCTCTCTCTCTCTGGTTCAGGTTTTGTCAGTACTGCGTCTCGATGCAGATGCTCCAGGTGAAATGAATAAGGCACCTCAGCCTCTGTCAGGACCCCCCTCCGCCCCGCTTCCCGCGCCCACCCCGGGCCTGTCCCAGGTAACTCGCGTCACTCTTTCAGTCATTGTGATCCGGGATGCACCGATATATCGACCGATAATCTGTATTAAAAACTAGGGCTGCACGATTAATCGAATGAGATTGTCATGCGCATCTTGTCAGTAAAGCCGGTTCTGTGATCAGTAGTAAATCTCCATCACATAAATAGAGATTTCATTGCTATTTATCATGCAGCCTTAATAAAAACAACCGATGATTATATCCTGTCAATCAAAATGCGGCAAGAAAATGTTTCAGACAGCAACTTGCGTGAAGAAAATGTGTCTTGTCAAATTTATGGCTATTTGAGTTAAAGCAGTAATATCTCATTAATGCAGGTTTTGTTTGAACTTATAAACCATAAGCCACCCATAGTTCAAGCCAGGGTTGCCAGATATGTGTTTTTTCTTCACTAAACATTATTTGTAATGTGCCTCAAATCCAATAATCTTACTTCGGATAAGAAATACAATCTCAGCTTTTAAATCCTGTACGTTTTATCGCAAAATTCAAACATTAAATGTCGCATTTAAATGTGGCGTGACGTATCGCTGTAGCGATTCAGTTCAAGAGGCAGCACGGAGCTCGAGACTCTTCCTCTTTAATACAAGTTATAGCACAAAATAAATGTAAATGAACATCAGAAGATATGTTGAAAAATAAAGTACAACTTACCGAAATCTATCATGTCTAATATAATCGTTTCAACAGAAAGTTCATTAGTTAGCTATGAAAACACTAGAGGGAGCTTAATTACTGTTAATTATATAAGTATGTTTGAATAAATCTGTTGTGAAGACCAGTTTTTATGAAAACTACCTAAAGTGCAATTGAGTTGTATACAGATGTTTTTATATTTGAGTGTGATTATTATATCTGAAAATAAAAAGCATTGAATGTAATAGTGTTATTGTTCATATTAACCTCTAATATTACATACCAGTGTTTAGTTTACAGCATTAGATGGGAGATTTTTTTTTCTTCTTAGGAAATCTGAACTATCAGTATCGGCAGATATCGTTCTGAATAATCGGTTATCGGCTGAGAAATTCAGTATCGGTGCATCTTTACTTATGATCTCTCTGGATTACTCCTATGATTGAATGATGCTCGTGTGTCTCTCTTTAGCCCAGTTTTTCTCCTGTTCCGCCAATTGTGTTCGGCACCCCTCCGCCACAGATGAACCCCGCCGCCCAACCCCGACAGGTACGGCACCCCAGACACGCATCACTTCCTGTGGGCCTGCTGGGTCATTGGCCCATTCGTTTTCCAGCCAAGCCAAACCAAACCAGCCAGCCCGTGTTACATTTAATATACATTTTAAAGGTATTTAGGTATTAAAGACTTAAGCATCAGAAAAACACTAAGGTCTTCCATAAAGCAGAGATTCCCAAAATCTGCGAGCTAAAATATTTACTTGAAGTCTCCCTGAGATTTTAACTTATTTCAATAAATAAGCACATTCATATGGTCACAGTTCTCAGAATCAATGGTTACATGGCATGCAGGTAAACAAATACAATATTTAATCTTTTGCTTTATCTTGCTTTTTTTTAATTATTTTAATTGTATGATTGTTGCCATAAAACACTTCCAAAGATAGAATCAAATCAGTCTTGAATTTTAATACAAAATTAGTACCTTCTTAATTTAAATAATTAAAAAAGAAAAAGAAAAAATACATTTGAAAATTAAAAAAAGAAAAGGATAATAAAATAAAGAAAATTAAATAATAAAAGTATTATTTATATACTATTATTGTACTTGTTATTTATTAATAATCAGTTTATTTTACATTTTAAATTTTGTTTTCATTTTAATTTTAGTTTGTTTTAGTAATTTAGTAAGTGTTTTTGTCATTTTATTAGTGTTTTTGTATATGTCTGTTTAGCTTATATTAATTTGCTTTGCTTTTAATTTTAGTACGTCAACTTTAAATTAAAATTTGAAAGGTTGTCTTGCCAGCTAACTGAAACAAGTTTGTTTTTTATCTGCATTAACTTTTTTGTAGTTTTAGTTAATAATAACAAAACTACTGCTGCCTTTTAGAAATTAATCAAATGTAAATGAACAAATCTTAAGACAATGAGAGATCGCAAAATTAGTTTCTGTTCATTTTGAAGTTGTTATGCACAGCTAGTATTTACACTTTTCTGATCGGTGGATCTCGCTTCAGTATTTTGGGTCTTGAAGGTTCTGAATGGGATTTTTACTTCATTAACTTATCGGAGGATCCCTGTGAAAACATTGAGGTTCATGTAAGTTTTGTCCAGAAAAAGATAGCCTATATCTAGCCTGACATGTTTGGACAAACCAGACGAATTATCAGCGAGTGAACATGTAAGAGCGTCTGTACTTGAGTTCAGAGGTCGCCCTGCATCCTCCTGACCTCTCGTTGTGTGTGAGATTGGAGCGACTGAGGTGCTTCTGGGAAAACGGGATCTCTCCTCTGCTCTTGTGGCTGGTGTTGCTTCGGTTTCTTGACCTTTGACCTGTACATGTGGCTTTCTCTTTCTAGTTTGCCTCAGGTCCTAGGGCTTTACCACAACAGGTACTAACACAAACACACCCACATACACTGAACAAGACCTGAAACATACTCTACGTCATTGAGATATGAATTCTGCATTGTATTTGCAGTGTTGCGTAATTATCATAAACTAGTATAAAGTCTTCTCTTTCTGAGCAGTAGTTTGAGATAGTGTTGTCACGGTACCAAAATGTCAGTATTCGGTACCGATACCAGTGAAAATCCACGGTTCTCGGTACCACGGGAAAACTGCGGACTTGGCAACACTGGAAGAGGCTAGCTTTTGGATAGCGCATCAAGAACCGGTACTTAAGAAAACCTGGTACCGTAACGTTTTCATTTTTTTAGTACCGACTTGGTACCGAAATACCGGGTCTTTTGACAACACTAGTTTGAGATAATCTTGTGAAGCAAGTTTAAAGAAAAGCAAAGAAAAGTTTATATCTAGATACCTGATTTATCTGATGAGAGGGAGAATTAAATTAAAAATTAAATAATAAAACATACTTTTAAATTGTTTTTAAAAGAAGGAAAAGGTTAGATTAAGTTAAATGAATTTAAAAAACTAAAAAATGCATTTAAATAATTAAAAGAAAGAAAAAAGTAAGAAAAATAAAGATGATAAAATAAAAAAAATTATTTCAAAGAAATAAAATGAATTAAAATAATTAAAAGAAAGAAGCAAGATAATAAAAGAAATAAAATTAGAATAAAGAAAAAGTCAAGAAGATGATAAAATTAAATGAAGAAAGAAATTAATTAAACTTAATTTAAAAAAGGAAAGTAAAAAGAAAGATAATAAAATAAATACAATTAAATAATTAGAATATAAAAATATTGAAATAATTTAAAAAGAAATGAAACCGAAAGAAAAACATAATACAATTAAATTAAACCATTTAAAAAAGAAAGAAGAAAAATAATTAAAAAGAAAAGGAAAAATGTAAAAAAGAAAGAAATTAATTTAAATTTAAATAATTTTAAAAAGAGGAAAAAGCAACTAATAAAGTAAGGTAATAAAACTAAATTAAATAGTTAAAAAAGAAAAATAGTTTGATAAATGATAATAATAATGAATGATAATAAATATAATTAAATAATTAAAAAGAAAGAAAAATAATTTATAAAAGAGAAAGGGAAAAAGTAAGATAATAAAATAATAGTTTTCTAGTTTAAAGACAGACATTGACATTGACAGGCTGTTACTGTGTCGTCTCAATCTGAACAGTGCTGAATGCTGTGTTTGCATGCTGCTCTGTTCCTCTAACTGTCTGTGCCGGTGGGTAACACACACTCTTCATCTCTCTCTTGCTCCTCTGCTTTGTGTGTGTGTGTGTGTGTGTGTGTGTGTGTGTGTGTGTGTGTGTGTGTGTGTGAGTTTGGTGTGTGTGTGAGAGAGAGTGTGTGTGATCCAGTACCGCATGATGACATCATTTACAACAACAAGCTTACAAATTCAACTTCATTCCCAAACAACACGAGAAACAAGACCAGTTGCCATAGTAAAGCATGTTTTACTGCCTCATTAATATGTAAAACATTGACATCACGAGCTGAGCAGCTCCTCCCAAATGATTGATGGAGTCATTTTAAATCTCTCTCTTGCTCCTCTGCTTTGTGTGTGTGTGTGTGTGTGTGTGTGTGTGTGTGTGTGTGTGTGTGTGTGTGTTTGGTGCTGCTGAAGGGAGGATTCAGGTCACTGCAGGTAACGCTTTTCTTACACTTCGCAAAAATCTTTCTTTAAAATCAGTGTGAAACGCAGTTAAATCCATTTTACTTTCATAATATGATAAATATGATAAGTTAAACAGCACACTCGAGTTTTATCCACGAGGAATTAAAAATGTGAGCTTCATTCATAGGGCTGGGTTTTGACACAGATTTCACGAATCGATTCTCATTCACAAGCTTGCGATTCTATTCAATGTTGATTATTTTGGATATATATCAGGTACACATGCCAAATTTTCTCAAGGAAAAAAATTCACTTAACTAATG